TTCGATTCTTTACACTTACCATACGAAATACAGAAGCATTAAGCTGTTATTTTACGCTGATATTCTGTGAGAGTGTGGTCCTTCCCCGGTCGAGCTCATCCATTTGTGCTACAATATAGCTGCAGCGTCTAGCATCATCTAGCACGTGTCCGTAGGGTATACGTGGTAGAGACCCTACGGATTAATCTCGTTAAATGAATGATTAATGCAAGTTGATGAAGGTGAATCAAGCCCGGCTCGAGCCCAAGCGAACACAGCGCGGTGCGCAATATTTGAAGGCGTTTAGCTTGACTAGGCAAACAATTGACTTTATAGGAAAACAAATGTCATTGCAGCCTTCTGCCAAATAATCACTCTCGCTTTAATGTTCCAGATGATTGCTTATTCAGAACCCTTTTTACTGTAAAAAGGCATTCCATCTTAGGCTGAAATCTATAGACCGTACTTTGAATTTGCTCAGACTTTACTTTCGAGCTAAGACAATGTCGGTATTTATAAAGCTAACTTCGAAATCGTGCTTAGCAAAGCCTAAGTCAAGGATATCGACGACTTACGTAAAACTCAGGATATTATTCAAAACCACCGTATTAATTTTAAATTGTTTTTATGTTACTCTAACTAATAATGACTTTTTTTATAGGACGAGGGTGACAAACGAGCACACAATCCACCTGATGGTAAGTGACGTCTACATCTATCTTCGATTACGAATGAAAATGCAGATGCGTTGTCACCCGTGAGGACTAAGTTGGAATGCCTCGTTTCCAGTAAAATGGGTCTCCGGTTCTCTACACTCACCATACGAAACACAGCAGCGTTAAGCTGCTATTTTACGCTGATTTTCTGTGAGAGCGTGGTTCTACCCCGGTCGAGCCGACCCATTCGTGCTGCAACCATAATATAGCTGCAGCATGGCTCTACCACGTCTTATTGATGAAAGAAAATTTGGACTGTTTTTGATTATAAATATATAGGTATATTTTTATAATTTTATATAGTAATTTGGATTTTACATATATATATATATATATATATATATATATATATTTATATATATATATATATATATATATATATATATATATTTTGAAATTTTATACAGTTAACTCAAGAACATAATGCGTGGAATGAAAAGCATCCATTAATATTTGGGCTGTCTGGGCCTTAGCATAAGCTTCGCTGTATCTTGGCCCAATACAAGTACACATTCAGAAACAAAGACTATGCTAAGCACATACTCAGCTAAGTGTTTCGTAAGCTAAGTCTGAGCAAATTCAAAGTACGGTCTATAGATCGTAGCGTTAGTCTTCACGCGTGACAACGCATCTGCATTTTGATTCTTAATCGAGGATTAATGTAGATATTTATGGGTCACAGCATCCACTTGCCATCAGGTGGACTGTGTGCTCGTTTCTCACCCTTATTCTATATAAAAAAAACTCATGTATTTATTCTAACGTGACTTGTCGTTTTTGCCGAATTTTCTCTATACCGCAGAAGTGGCGTCGCGGTGCACGCACGCACGCCGGCGCCCCATGTTTATAAACACTCGTCACTAATAGCTTCAGCTTGAGGTATAAATATTGCTGGATGATTGGTCGTTGAACTCGCGCAATGAGCGGTCGCCACAGCTGCCAGCAGTTTTTCATCGTATCGACGTCAAAATATTGTCAAATTATTATCGTTGTCTCCTGGTTAGTCCCTGAACATTTATTTTAATCTCGACAACGGCGCTACTTAACGAGTGCAATTGTGAAATTAAAGCATCCAGAGACCCATTCAAACACATAAACTCTCATAAAAATCAGTCGAGACATTTTTGTTTATATACATTAATTTTATTTATATAGATTAATCACAATGTTATATAACGAAATTAAGAATTTTGATAATTTCTATTATTATTATTATTCTTAATAATATTCGGACGATAAATTGGATTTCTAATTGTTGTGCGACTAAATTATTTACGATATTTCGGTAAAAACATTACGCACCTTTGATACTAAAAAATTAGAAAGTTAAGCCTGTTGCGTACTTGGTAGCCATTACCATACCTTACAGTATACAAAACGTCTACTGCTGAACGCAGGCCTTCCTCTAAGATTGGAAGCGGGTTGACAACCGCAGTTCCTTTTTTATTAAGCTGTTATCAGAAAGATGCTGCTGCCCATCTCGCGGTACAGTTTCACTCTTTCACCTATTACGTCACCACGGGATCAAATGGGGTAGTGGATATTCTTACACCGTTACTACATGGTACTGTTTGATAACAATTTCAGTAATTAGAGGAGGCTTATGCCCAACAGTGACAGTACTTTAAGTCACCTATGCGGATTTTAGATTCCACCACGCTGCCTCACGTTCACATGCCCTTGAAGTATCTTTTATTTCTAATACTTGTAGGAACAGGGTTTCCCTTTACCATCGAGCAATCCATCCAGGATAAGCTCTTAAAATTGCCACTGACAAATTCACTGGTGCCGCCGGAGTCATAACTCGGGTCACTTACGCACTATAAAATTTTAGGTAAACAGCGACCCAATCTTAAGCTACCATGGCCTCAACAGTTATTTTATATACCTACAAGAACACTGTGTTTTCGAGGTGATATTTATCTAGATATTTATTTAGTAGCGAGTAATTGCGTTCGGGGTAAAGCGCACGGTCTCGTTGAGTATCACAAGACGTCGTCGAGGAAAATAGTGTTTGCACATTGCGGTGCTGAGCGCGCTCTGCATGCGTAATTGAGAATAGATTGATCGGAGTCAACGGCGTGTGTGCTGGACATGCGAGGAATACCGCGTCGCTGTTCTAACAAGGGTAAAGCCGGCACCGCAAGGGCGATGATATTGCTTTATTAAAAGGAAGATCGGAACCCCAGTTAGTCGAGGTTGATTCGGGCTTAGACACATGGAATTTAAATTAATTTTGGTAATCGACGAGCATGAGGAAAGAACATAAAATTTTGAATAAATTAATTAAAACCAAAATTTTGAATTGTAATATTTAATTTTAATCTATTTTATTTACGCAACGGAACAAGTGTAAAACAGCGGCAAATGGATGGAAAAATTTCATTCACAACGACAATATATCGCTTTAGATTAATGACAATGTTTCACAATTCATTTTATAAATACAAAGTACCGGAGTAACGGAGCTTCGCCTGGCGGCATTCACATTTACCGTTAGGATGGGGATATGGCAATTTCGCGCGGAAAAATTTGGTTATTTACATTTCCATTAATAGATATTCAGGTATATAATATACAAAACTGTATCAAAGCCGTTAGTGACGTTTCTAAGAAATCAGATATATACAAGAGTTATATATTAACATTAGATTAAGGTACTAAGATACATTAGGTATATACGAGTACTTAATAACGAAGGAATAATGTTCCAAAATGCATTAACAAATAATTTGAAATATCTTTGCTGCAGTAACAACATCAGAGACGTTCATTCGTACAAAATGACCACGATAAGAAACAAGGACTAGCATGTTAATATTCCTTGTAAGTAATATAGATACACTTTCTAGAAGACCTATGATTTATTTATTTCCTTTGAGTATCTTTTTAAAATGGTAGAACATTATATTGGAAATTTGTCAACTTGTTGAAAGTTATTTTCGATGGGTGCATCCGTCATGAGAGCAAATGTCTCAAAATGTCAGGATTTCATGTAACAAAAGTGCTAGCAAGTTGTCCTGTCACGGTTCTTTGAAAGATATTATCAGAAGAGCTCTTATCTCCATAAATGTTCCGGTATGGTTTTAGAGCATTGTGGAATATTTAGAGACAATGGCAGTAGACCTGAAGGTGTAACTTTGGTCTCTTGGAAGAGAGAGATAGAGAGGGAGAAAGGCAAAGCCTAAAGTATATTGGAATGCTATTTGCACTTTGGCAGTCTCTCTTGTCATGTGGGTACCTTGTTTTGTGAATCTCTGAGAAATTACTATAGATTTGTGCCATTTGCAATAGAAATTATCAGTCCGCAGCCAGTTTCTTGGCATTATATTGCGGGGAGTATGACTGTATAACAATTTAAGTTTTTAGTTTAATTTTTGTTTTATTATGGTAATAAATATTGTTCATATTTAATTTTAAAATAATTTAAAATTAACCGCAACAAAATCCACAAAATTAGTTTCATTCAAAGTGTATTCGCGTAAATATAAGAAATCATTATACGCAAAATTAATGACGTCTTCCTGACCGATGTCAATCTCAGCGTCACGTAGATTAGAGCTGCAAGCTATATTACACAGACACTTACTTGTCTCAATTTACTAGAATCTGATGCAACGCTGGCCGGTAAGACCGAAGTGTACAATATCAGAAATAAGAAGATAACATCCGTACATTTCACATATATCACATATCTATACATATATCGGTTGATATCCACGTGATTCTGTGACGGTAAGGAGGTTAGTATTCAGAACTGCACTTTCATATGCGATTTTGATAGATTTGTAGATATATCGAAATATGTAAGTATGCTAATTCGTATTGGTTAATATCCATGATACTCTGAAACGAGTATATCCTACAACGAAGAGTCGGAATATCTCGTATTCTTTCCTGCGCTCATGGTTCGTTCGAAATTGGAATCAGTTTATCACATCATAGATATTTTACGTTATTATTATTTCATTAATAAAACTACTTCGCATTATGTTAAACATGTTAAAAATGAATTAGGTAAGATCCGTGTAATAAAATATAATGATGTGTCTTAAACAGTTTGAGGGAGGGCGGAAGATACTCTTCAAACTAGGTAAGACACATTTATTCATTTTTATTATTCTTAACTTAGATGTTCCGTTAAGTGACGCTGTACTGCAGTGGTATTTAATACATGGATATTGTACCGATATTTAGATATTGTATCTATAGTATTTGATTTGTATCGCCTACTACTAATGGGTGTATATTTGTAAGTCGGCAGCGTTTGCAGGGTGCAAGGTGGGGGATGCAGGGTGTACTCACAGCAGCTGCAAGCGCGGCCAGGAGGCATCTGGAAGGTGGCGAAGCGCGCACGCGTCCAGCCAAAGCCGGACCAACGCCGCGCCGCTCAGCGCGCCCGCCGCAGCCTCCAGCCGGTTGGCAGACAGGTTCCTGCGCATACCACACACACTCCACCACACGCGACACACTGCCACGCAACACCATACCCTCCCCACGTTAACATACTGTCCATGAGCTATTCGTCGGTGACGAACCTCTTTCTCTTTTTTTTATCTTCTTCTAAAAAACTTTCCCTTCCATACTACGATTTTCATCTGTATCGTGGGTGCAGTTGACATACGAGTATATAAATTTCACAAAGACAAACATCCAGACCCGATACATGTTCCGTGCCGTATTCGAACCCACGGCCCTTAGCCCTCCAACTCATTGCTAACCTACTACGCCATTGAGTTGTCATGAGTCACCTCTGATGCAGCCTTCTTAGAAATTTAAGTAAATTTCTCATTGTAACAGGCAAATAGTTAAAGAGCCTACACTTTTTAAAAGGGCGTCAACGCACCTTTGATACCGCTGGTGTTGCAGTTACTCATGGGTGACGGTAGTCACTTACCATCAGGTAAGCCGCATGATCGTTGGCCCTTCTTGAATCGACTACATCCTCTTACATAAAAAACAATAATCATTAAATCATAAAAAATCGAAGTGACGTCTTTGTCAGAATGCACCTTGAATGTATTATACTAACTTAATGTACTTAAGTACATTATCGACTGGCCTTTTAGGATAAGGCTTTAGGAAACTGAAAGGCCTTTTAGGCAACAAGAGATTTCATATCAATAGACAACCATACATACCGAACAATATCAATATACTGAGGCATTCACAAAAAAAAAAGTTAAAGAAATTTAAATTGTTAAATCGGTATATTCAAGAACTTTTTAACGAAACTGCTATATCAACACTTGGAGCACTTGTAGACTACGAAAGACACGAATTATGAGCAATTCGTATGTCAATACTTGCAAAGCGCGAGGTGAATTAATAATGTCGTGTAAAAGTGCCACTTGTACCGCATCCACTGAATAAATGAGCTGGAATTTGTATTCGTATTAACTGTGAAAACTGTACATACTTAGGTTGCCTACATATTTGCCGTCCTCTTCACTTTTTTCGTAGAATTAATGCTCGCTGAATAACGTACTATAATTTTGTTATACACTGCACTAACCCAATATCTATTCAGAAAGCTATAGTGATAACAATTACGAAGATCAATGTTTTTCAAAATCTTTCCTTCATCATCATCATCGTCATCATCACTACAGCCCGTCACAAGTACACTGCTGATCATAGGCCTCTACGAAATGAATGCCAAAAAGCACGGTCCTGAGCCATCCATCGACTTCCTGCACGCCTTACCAAGTCGTTACTCCATCTAGTGGGGGACGCCCTACACTTCGTCAACCGGTATAGACTGCCACCTGAGAACCTTTCTTCCTTGTCGGTTGTCGGTTCTTCGAGCTATATTCCATTTCCAGTTCAGCTTACTAATCTAAATCTAATTTTAAACTAAATTGAAATAAAAGTCTTTCCTTATTGAGAGATAATTTAACTAATACCAGAACTTAGTGAGAAACTAAATTACGACAGAATATCAACACTGAATGGCAAAACAAATTTGCGTGCACTCAACAAATTTTGTAAATTAAAAAGTTTACTTAAAGCTACGCGGTAGAAAACATGTCGGGTGTCCTTCGGCGTCTCCGCGATACTCGACCCTGCAACTAATTACTGTCATCAAGCGCAGCCAGCCAACCGGACATTAACTTCCTTGTTTAATATTGTTTAGTACAACTTGACAATTTGACCTTTTGTCTTATAAGTTAAGAAAAGACTTTCTAGAGATACCTTTATTTATATAAGTTTATATAATCTTCGAGATTGTAGACATAATTTATGGCAAAAATTTGTGATTTTCTTCATACAATTGGTATAAAACGGCCCGGTATGCGCTCGCATCTTAATTTCACTTTCAATGTGTGTATTAAGTAATTCTTATTGCATTGGCCGCTATGTAATCGAGAGCGCGACGGCACAATCACATCCACATTGGCACGGCGTCTCCCCGCCCACCCCTGGACGACTAACCTTCCCCTCACGCGTCGCGATTCATGCTCTCAGCTCTCTGGCTACAGGACGTGAAAGCGATACTCACTCAATGCAGAACTGTCGTTCTTTGTGTTACGTAATTCCTCATGGCGACAACAAGGGACGAGATGCGACGCGATTACCTCATGAAACAATCTCTTAGCTAGGTATCAATATCATTTCCATAGTTTCTTCTAGACAATGATACTATTCTGAACAATTATCCTTAAGATATTTTAATTTACCTAATACTATTACTAGCTGGGCTCTGTGATCTTGTCGATGTAAGACTCGCACATCTTATATTTTGATGTAATGTACATCACCTATTCCACTATTATAACGTTTAATATTTGGAAAATCTAGCTGTACAGTATTTGAAATGTTACAAATTAAAAACAAACACAATAACGTGGAAGCTTAATGCTCCGGGTTTCTAGTATTACGACGTTTTAACAGTAGGGCAAACGAACCACATTGCTAGGGTTTTAAGTAAGGGAACAGCGGAATATGTGCTTTTAACAAGTTTAAAATAGGTGTGAAAGTCAAAAATACGTAAATATATTTAACACTGTAGTAAGCTGTAAGTAACCATGCAACTAGCAAGTATTGGTTGAGGATGTTAGTGACATTGCATCCTATATCCCAAGTGAGCGAGTGAGTGAGTGTACGAGCAGTGAGTGATGAGTGAATAGATGAGAGTGAGCTCACAGATCTCGCAGTGAGGCGGCGGGCTGCAGCGCGGCGGGCGGCAGCGCGGTGATGTTGTTGCCGGACACGTCCCTGTAAAAAAAAGTCACTTAATAATGGAATAAAAATAGTGCCATTCTATTATTCCGCTGTGTGGTTTACTTCGTTTTTTGCAATGCGTATAGCGAAGAAGTGAAATCTGGGCATCTTTATGACAAGAATGAGTAGGCTTTTGTTACGCTAAGACAGTGCGATTTACCATCAAGGACTCACTGTCACTGGTTTATAGTAAGTAAAAGCTAAAAGCTAAAAATAACTAACATGTGCATGTTTCTAGTAGAAACAAGCACATGTTAGTTATTTATAGTAACTCGACTCGAGTACTTATAGTCAATAATTCCTTCATAGAGCAATGCATATACGCTTTTACAACAAAGTCTCAAAAATATGCAGGACATACCTACTCTATGAAAATGCTTAGCAGTTTATTTAAACAAACATTGTTTAATTGTGGATGTTATTCTACTAAAGAGTACATAATTGTTAATGGTCCCCGCGAGTGAGGTGATCGCTACCACGTTGTTTCTCAATGTTTTAGTGTTTAATTGAAAAACATAATATTATATTATAAATTAAATTTGGCTCAGGACCGTGCTTTGTGGCATTCTTTGGGGGAGGCCTATGTTCAGCAGTGGACTTGTGAAGGGCTGTAATGATGATGATGATAAATTAATGTTAAAAAAAACGCGTTAGCGTTTTTCGCTGGTTCTTCCCAGGACAGAGGTAATTTTCAGATTCAGTTATAAAAGCATGATTTAATTTTATCATTCGTATCTTTGTCTAAATTGAATAGAAATTATTTCATTCTATTCTAATAATTATAATTCAAAATGGCTACCATTTTTTACTACGTTCCAGTCCTGAGCCACGTTTAAAGTTTCAAGTCTCTAGTGCATCAGGAAATTAGGTTAATTTCGTTTGCAAATTAGTATTGAACAGACATAGAAGTAAGCGAGTTAGTAAAACGTGGTAATATTTTTTTAATAAATCGTAACGCTAAACAACTGTGTTTGAATTTTAAAAGTATGTGGTGGTATATCATTATCTGTGAGGCATTCCATATTAGTCCTCGACGAAGACAACGCATTTATTGCCTTTATAAAAGTTGGTTACCAACGTCCATTGGCCGCACCAGCTACTTACCTTCAAGTGTACTGTTATTTCTTGTATTTGATAATAATAAAGTCCTAAAGACCAAACTTCGGTCACGGCTGCCCGTCTCAACAGAGACGAGCCATCAGCGCAGGACAGGATTATAGTGCACGAGTTGTGCAAGCACAGCTGCACTCTCTATTGCCTCACTCCCATATTCTGATAGGCCGGTTATTCGAACGACCGGAGAGAGATCTGGCTTTACGTGGTCTCTGATGCTCGGGGATGAAGAAACACCGCCAACTACCTGACTCCGTCTGCTGCTGAGAATTTCTTGAAAGAAAAATCCAATGACTGATTTTCGATTGTATTTGTAGTTGGTACGCTTGCTTTAAATAAATAAATGGAGTTCACATGATCTGCACCCGGCGCACCATAAGCAATGAGAAAGTTTTTCTTTCACTCATTGGTTAGTACATCTACCTCGATGGAAAATATTATGGTAGAGTAGGCCCTGGGTTCTAATCATAGCCGTAGCCATAGACAACATATGCGCACAAACTATTTATTCAATTTGTATAAATACAACGCCTCTATGGCAAGTGAGCGTTACCACCCATTAACAACGCCAGAGAAAGGAATTGTTACTTTCTAGTTCTTAATACGTTCAGATTTTTACGTGTATTTTTTAAAACAGCCCGGCCTACCTTTGATCTTTTTGCAGTGGCGTTATTGGACCAGCAGCTTGAATCAAGTCAGCAGATTTTTACTAATGTAAAGCCTGATTGATCGCTTGAAATATATACTTGATATTTGAGTTAAGCATCTATGTGAAAGAAGCGCGTTTGCTGAAGTAATATATTTTTTACTAGACGCAAGGACCTGACACGCCTGACTACCGCTACACGTTTGACTGAGCATTGCTTTGGTCCAACGTAAGCAATCACGGCGGTGCTGCTTTATCAGATGACGTGATGAGACACGATCATAATGTTCATGAAATATACAGTGTAAGAGAGACTTTGATATTATATTTTCTTTTTCTCATTGACTTTAAATTCAGTCACTAAAATTTGCCACGAAAAATGACTACAAAATGTTGATAAAACCAAACTTATTTAATACTGTGATCAAACCAAATGTATAAGATGCGCATTGGACGTATTTGATTCAAGCAGCCTGCTTGTTTCGGAACCCCTTTAAATCGTACCGTACAGGATGTCAGGACGGGTCACGCACCTCACTAGTTGTGTGTACACGTCGTGTTTAACTATAGTTCGAGTATGTCAAATGCAGTTTGCAATTCCAACTTGCCTGTCTGTGATTCTGAATGTTTTGTTGCATTTTCAATTGTTTGAAAACAATCAACTGCTATTTTACGTGTTCTCCGTTTTCTCTATCTTTTTTTTTATACATGGATACCAAGACAGAAGTTTTAGCGTATGTTAAGTATTATTTATAATCAATTTTGGAGGAAATAATTAAAATTTATTTATAAAAATAGAGTATACCGAATATTATTATTTGAAAAAGGTTTTTGCTTCAAAAATCACGGGCTCGGCAGTGAATACTCTAAAAAAGTGACACTAAAAAGAGACAAACATACATCTATAGGATATAGTCTGATTCTCGTAGATCTTATTCTCTCAAAGCATAGTTTTGTGAATGTGCGCATGATTTTTTTTATTATATTATATTTTATTCATGATAACAAACAATTACACAATAAGGCTTAAAAGTAATAACAATTTATGTTAATAACATGAGTAATTATGTAACCAGCACCGTTATCCCCAAAGTAATGTTAAATTAGTATGATACACAGTAAACAGGGTCCATGTGAATAAACAAAAAAAAATTGACAACACTCAGCAATAATGATTTTTTATATTTCGTGAAGACTATACATTAAATGAAACTAATTTTTACGCACTTTATCGCGTTTAATTTAACGATCTATAATCTGTCAAAACAAACACTGGACGAACCTACAATAAAAGTATTGCCGAAGGGCTTCAATTTGCAACACCGCAAATAATCCCGTACGAAGAAATTATCTGTAGTGTTGAGGATTGTTTATTTAAGAATAATATCAGTAAGGAAGATTTAGAGGCCATACATCAAGAAATTTCGTGCTTGCTACGTAGAAGTTCAGCGCCGAAATTAAATCTCCCCAAAGACGAGGTTAAAGCGTTGTACAACTTACGCAACAGACCAGAGCTCAAGATTCTTCGTGCGGATAAAGGAAATGCTACGGTAGCAATGGACACGTCAGAGTATAATTTCAAAATACAACAACTTTTATAGGACGGAAGTACATATAAAAAGGTCAAAATAGACCCTACAACTAATACACTTAAAACAACTACCGACTTAATAAATAAATACTCCTAAAACTTAAATCTTGACGTGAATTCTACAATACCATCATGTGCCAAACCACCGAGGTTGTATGGGTTACCGAAAATACACAAACCAAACGGTCCACTACGTCATATAGTAAGCCAGATCGATTCACCAACTTATAAGTTGACTCAAAACTTGGCAAAAATATTATCACCACTGAGAGGACATACCAGAGCACACAAAGGATTCATACCATTTTGTTACTGAGATAAAAGACCTACATCTCGCTTACAATGAAACTATGGTCAGTTTTGATGTTCAGTCACTATTCGCATGCTAACCTATTGAATTCTACATCTCAATAGTAACTAGGAAGCTAGAAGATAACAACATGCCTACAGAATATGCAGTATTACTCAATCACTGCCCCATATATGGCTATCTATAGTGGAAGGAAGAGTTCTACAAGCAAGTAGATCGTGTGGCGATAGGCTCACCTGTATCTCCTGTAGTCGCCGACATATTCATGGAGGACTTTGAGGAGAAAGCCCTTCTTACTGCTCCTGTAAATCCAAGATTCTACAAGCGGTAAGAAGACGATACTTTCACAATTTTACCATCTGACAAAGTAACTGCATTTTTAGAGGACCTTAATTCCATAAACTCTAAAATACAATTCACAATAGAGTTAGAGGCAAACAATTCTTTGGCTTTCCTAGATGTTTTAGTCATCCGAAATCCTGATAACACCATTGGTCACACTGTGTCTAGGAAAAAGACCCATACCAACCGATATTTAAATGGTGAATCGCACCATCATCCATCACAGTTACCTATGTCAGAGGAGTCACAGACAAGGTTGGCTAAATCTTGACGCGAACTTCTATTAAAACATACTTCAAGCCGCCGAACAACATTAGTCAATTTTTACCATCCGTCAAGTGTCATATGCCTCTACAAGATGCAGGAGTGTACAAGCTGGATTGCGAATGTGGTCTCTCTTACATAGGTCAAATAAAAAGATCTATAAAAACCCGCGTGAAAAAACATATAGTTGACTTGAAGCATGATGTTCCGGGAAGTCTGCAGTGTGTGAACGTGTTCAAGATCGTCCCCGCCATTACATTAGATTTGATAGACCACAAATCCTCGCAAAAGAACACTGATTTCTACCAAGGATGATTCGCGAGGCTATTGAAATTAAAAAACATCCTTATTTCAATAGAGAAGATGGATGGGTGCTGTCATCTGCTTGGAAACAGGATTATAGGATGTTTTGCCATTTTTACTTAAATATGAGATTAATAATTTGTATAATACCATTCAAAAAGTTTAATTGCGTGTGCTCATGCATACTTAACTACTTCATGATCATCATCATTTACAAATACACCCTTTACATATCCCTTGCTGAACATAAGCCTCCTTAAAGAACTTCACAAAATACGATCGGTACGGTTTACACGTGGTGGTAGAGCCACGCTGAAGCTGCATTGTGGTTGTAACACGAACGAATGGTGGACCAGGGAAAGACCACCCTCTAACAGAATACCAGCGTAAAATAGCAGCTTAACGCTGCTGTGATTTGTACGGTG